AACTTCATATGAATATATGTCCTAAAAGTCTTAACTTTTGAACTACAGGGTGCTAAAGTTTTATGAAAAAAAGTTTTCTTATGATAACTTTGGTATTACCCTAGATATTTTTTTCAAATTTGGTACACGCCTTCTATTCATCGAGATGCATTTTCTGATGTACAAACAATTTTATTATTTTTGCCAGTGGCGTCTGTACAGGTTTTGTATTGAATATTTTTGAACAAAAATATGTTACGCCACTGCTTTTTCTTAAATTAAAAATAATTTTTTAAATCCTCATTCGTTTCTAAGCAAATGTGGTGTCTTGAATTTTTTTCGTTTGACGTACATACGGTTTTCGCATAAAAAAATAAAATTCATTCATTTGCATCTTATTGTACCACTTACGAGAAAAAAAAAGATTTATGTAACTTTGAACAATAATTTATTTAAGATTTAAGATTTATTTAAAATAATAACTTTTAAACGTTGAAAATAATTTCAACGTAATTTCATAAGAAATTACAGTAATCTACATACATTTTGAAATGGTAAAAGAAAATTACCCTAAACGCACAAAGAAATAAATTATATATTTTCGATAAAATGCCGGTAATTATGTCCATTTAACCTCTCATGAAGAAATAGGCTCCAATTAAATAATCACCGCATATTCCAACCCACACGTTAACGGAAAACTGCTTCTGGTGAGGGGATTCCAAGATTGCATGTGGGTTTTCTTCAGCCCAAATGTGATTGTTGTGGATGTTTTGGATGGCGTTTCTGGAAAAGTTGGCTTCATCGGTGAATAAAATTTCAGTGTCAAACAATGGATTTCATTCACTTTATGAAGAAACCATTGGCAAAAGTTTATCCGTAATGGAAAGTCGAAGGTAGTAGAGCTTGAACCCGTTGAATATGGTAATAAGAAGTCATGGAGAATTTTCCAAATAAGAATATGTGAGACATTCAAATTTTTCCCAACTTTTCTTATACTTAATGCTGGATCTTCCTCAATTGAATTCAAAACCGCTTAGATGATTGTCTGGTTTTAAACGTCCCTTTTCGCACAATCTTCTATGAATGTTTGAAAATGTTCGCGCATTCGGAATATTTCTATTTGGAAAGCGGTCTTCATACAATCGCCTGGCTTCCAGTGCGTTACCATTAGCAAGCCCATACATGTAGTGCATGTCTGCAAACTCAGAATTCGTATATTGGACCATGTTTTTTAAATAATATTGTTAATGTTAATGATTTAAATACGTGACAACTAGACTGCGTAGACAATTGTCAAAACTGTTTATGTTTGCAAAACAAAATCTGCTTTTTACCTACTAGATCGTTTTTAATTATTATTACATAGTACCTAATTTCATAACAGCGTACAAATGAATGAATTTAATTTTTTTATGCGAGAAGAATAGCAGATGCATGCATATTTGCAACATCTGATATAATTTATTTCTTTGTGGGTTCAGGGTAATTTTCTTTTACCATTTCAAAATGTATGTAAATTACTGTAATTTCTTATGAAATTACGTTGAAATTATTTTCAACGTTTAAAAGTTATTGTCTTAAATAAATCTTAAAATCTTAAATAAATTATTGTTCAAAGTTACATAAATCTTTTTTTTTCTCGTAAGTGGTCCAATAAGATGCAAATGAATGAATTTTATTTTCAAGACACCACATTTTCTCAGAAAGGAATGAGGATTTCAAAAATTATTTATTTTTACTTTAGGAAAAAGCAGTGGCGTAACATATTTTTCTTCAAAAATATTCAATACAAAACCTGTACTGGCAAAAATAATAAAATTGTTTGTACATCAGAAAATGCATCTCGATGAATAGAAGGCGTGTACCAAATTTGAAAAAATATCTAGGGTAACACCAAAGTTATCATAAAAAAATGTTTTTTCAAAAAACTTTAGTACCCTGTAGTTCAAAAGTTAAGGCTTTCAGGACTATGTTCAAATGAAGTTTTTTTCTTAAAAAGGACCTCCTTAAATATTAGCACGTTATTAAGAAACACACTGTATAGTATATGGCATTTTATTTTTACACTAGTGTTAAAAATGTTTTTGATACATTATAAAAGTCAATTCTAGTTGACTTATTAATGTATTAAAATGTCATTTTTAATTACAGTTTTATAAATAAGCATTTGCTCGATACTTGGTTTTCCGCTCAATATGATAATGAAAACAAAGTTACAACATTATTAACTGTTTGATTATACAGGGAGTCCGGTAAGTACCTCCTAATCTCGCGGGAGTGTATAGGGGAGGTCAAAATAAAACTAGTCCTTTCTATAATTTTTTTTCCTAATGTAGTTATGGGGGGTCAAAGGGATACCTAGAAATTAACGTTTAGGGTTATAACTTTGAAACCACCCTGTATATTTTAATAAAATTTTCGTACGTTGTATTACACATGGAGCTCTACGATTTGATGCTAAAATCAACTTTTTGCTATTATCAGGTGTCCAGAAACGGACTGGCCCTATCACAATTTTTCTCAAAATTTTGACAGAAGTAATTTTATCAAACTGAAAATATTATTATTAGATACTCTGAAGGTTTTTCTTTAAAAATGGTACTCTTTATTTATTTCGAAAAAATGAACGGTTTGCGAGATAAATCGGTTTTGAAAAAAATTGGTAACAAATACAACAACAATTAAAATTTATTTTTTTTACATATTATTTCATGCATTTAATTTCTTTAACTTTATCAAGTCCAGAAATCTTTGAACGGGTTGGCTATACTTTATGAGCAAGTAGTGACCAATTAAAAATAACATTTGAAAAATAACTTACTTACAAGACATGCAACAAAGAACATTCAACAATGAACAAAGGTACCTAAATGTTACTTCGGTAGATGTTCAAAATGAGCACCCCGTACTTCAATGCACTTTCTAATCCTACGAATGTTTTCCCGGTGCACTTGAAATAATATTCCGTGATTATTGCGGAGATGGTCACAGTTCTGTGTTAGCCTCAGCAGAAGTTCCTCTCTACTATTTACGGGTGTTGAATAAACGTTATTTTTTAAATGACCCCACAGAAAAAAGTCTAATGGGTTTAGGTCGGGCGACCTAGGTGGCCATAATACAGGTCCGCCTCGACCTATCCATCGATCACCAAAAACATTCGTCAGATGTTGACGTACTAAACGATCAAAGTGGGGTGGTGCACCGTCATGCATGTACCACATTTCAGTTCTTATTTGAAGGGGCACTTCTTCTAACAAAATATTTAGATTTTCCTCTAAAAATTGCAAATAAAGAGCACCATTAAGTCTTTGCTCCAGAATAAATGGACCAATCAAATGATTCCCGATAATGCCAGCCCACACATTCACCATAAACCTTTGTTGGTAGCGAGTTTGAACTAAAGCGTGAGGGTTTTCTTCATCCCAGACATGTAGATTATGCGAATTAATTATGCCGTCTCTTGTAAAACCTGCTTCATCGGTGAACAAAATAGATGTACCAAAATTATGATTCCGAATATGATGCTGTAAAAACCAATTGGCGTATTGAAGTCTTTTTGGATAATCATCTGGAGACATAGCATGTACTTTTTGGATGTGGTACGGGTAAAGCAATTGTTCTTTCAGAGTTTCATGTACAGCCCATTTTGTAACATTGTTTTGCGCCGCAAGCTTCCTTATGCTATTTGAAGGATTATTAGCAACGTCTTCCAATATTTGTTCCTCTACATGAGGGTCTCGTACTCTCCTCGGGGCTCCTGCTCCACCACGGCGTGGCAAAAAGCTTCCTAAATAAAGGATTCGGAAGAAATTAGTTTCACTAACGTTTTTCACTATTTTTTTTTACCTGTTTCTCTTAAACTACGATCAACTCTTTCAAAAGTTTTTGGACTCGGCAAATGTCGACCCGGAAACCTTTCCTCATAAAGTCTTCTTGCCTCCACGGAGTTGCATAATGCTTCCCCATAAATTAGGTGCATATCAGCATATTCTGCACAGGAATATTCTTCCATTTTTAAATGTTATTTCTAACGGCTTAAAACGAATACCACAATAAAATTGAATTTTTATTCTGTCACGCGCCTTTGACAAGTACTTTAAAATCAACAGGGTCTAACAACGAAAACAATAGAAAAGAACTCCATGGAGACAAGAGCAATAATAATTTGTAGATGTATTTTGGTCATAGATGTTGATTTTACAAGAAACGGCATTATTCATTCCCTTAATTCACCACCAGTAAATGTTTATGGTGAATCTGTAGGCTGGCACTAGCGGGAATGATTTTATTGTAAAAAAATAAATTTTAATTGTTGTTGTATTTGTTACCAATTTTTTTCAAAACCGATTTATCTCGCAAACCGTTCATTTTTTCGAAATAAATAAAGAGTACCATTTTTAAAGAAAAACCTTCAGAGTATCTAATAATAATATTTTCAGTTTGATAAAATTACTTCTGTCAAAATTTTGAGAAAAATTGTGATAGGGCCAGTCCGTTTCTGGACACCTGATAATAGCAAAAAGTTGATTTTAGCATCAAATCGTAGAGCTCCATGTGTAATACAACGTACGAAAATTTTATTAAAATATACAGGGTGGTTTCAAAGTTATAACCCTAAACGTTAATTTCTAGGTACCCCTTTGACCCCCCATAACTCCGTTAGGGGGCACATTAGGAAAAAAAATTATAGGAAGGACTAGTTTTATTTTGACCTCCCCTATACACTCCCGAGAGATTAGGAGGTACTTACCGGACACCCTGTATAGATTTAAGATCTTATTTCCAAAAATATGACCTCTACAAACTAGTATTGTATTAAAAACCCATTTTTGTAAAATATTTTCAACCCGCTTGCTCTTCTAACAATCGCGTACCCCGTCCAGGGAAGATTTGCCGGTTGTTTTTCGAATTTTCGACCGTCCGCGTCCGTATAGTGGTGGGTTAAATTTAAATCACCAAGTAGGAGACATATTTTATAACTCTGTGCATTACTTGAGTTTTAAAATAGAATGCGGCTCGCGAAATAGGTGTTTGACACAGTCTCCCGGGTCGCCACTTTCAAGTTAGTTCACTGTAAGAAAAATTCCAGTTTTTTTGACCAATTACACCAAGTAGGCCTCCGTAAAATCGTATTTAAGTACTGGATTCCGTTAAAGGATCCAACTCATATTTCAAAGTGTTTAATGCAAATATTTAGTCCACTTTATTTGGTGAGAAATTTATTTTTTTTATAATCATTTATAAAGAGGAGTGTGTATATCTGTGGAAGGTGAGAAATTAATATATGAAGTATATAATTACTTGATCTAAACAAATAGGGAAGGTATGTAAGGAATTTATTGCTTGAGAAAAACAGAAGGATGAACTGATTTATATTTTATATTTTCTCATATACAGTTTTCCCACGATTGTGTCGTGAAGAGGAAAAAATGTTTTATTTTTATATTTATGAGGAAATATCATTCTTTATAAAAATTCTTACCTATCCCCAAACCCTTAAAAATGTTGCAACTCAGTGATCTTTTAGATATTTCAAAAAATTTGGGTGTTTTGCTTGGGATCACTTTTAAATTTTCCAAAAAATTAACGCCCTGTGTATAAAATCAAGAAAGTACTAACATTTTTGAGAGTATGAGGACAAAACAGTTTTTTTATAAAGAATTATATTTTCTTATATATTTAAAAATAAAATAAAAAAGTTTTTCCTTTTCGGGATATAATCGCGGAACACGATTAGTTTTGTTTATATTCGTAAAAAATACTTACAAATTTGATAACTTAAAAAAATGCTTTTGAACAATCTGAAGTAAAAACTCTCTAACTCAACTAATAGTTTGTTAAAACCGCCATTACTTTTATAATACACAGTACCATAAAAAAGAAATAATTGAACAGTTCCTTTTCATAACTTTTTAATTTCTGAAATGATTAAAATTCTGTCATTATTTAAAGAATATGAACTGAGGTATTTTATAAATGTAGTGTTACAAAATACCTATAAAAAACTTTGAAATTAAAAAAATTTTTCGTTTTCGACATTACATTCATTTCATGTTGATATTATTTTTAATGGCTATTTTTTAGTAATAAAAGAATTATGTAGTCTTGAAGATGTACAGGCCATTAACTTAATAAGTAAAAAAACAAATCTCTTTAGTGTCAATTTTTGAAAAATTGTATTAGTATTTTTTTATCTAAATCCAACATGACATTATCATACGATATATTATCGTATATACCCCATAATACTCTCGTACTAATTTCTATAAAGATCTACTAAATTTTAAATCGGATATACAATTTTAAAAAAGTAATAGTCTCTTTGTTTTATTGTGTTTATAATTTAATTTTATAATTATATGATTTATTACATTATTTTTTATTCACTTGCTTTCCCTGGAACAATTTTTCAAAAATTGTAGGGGTAATACCATAAAAGCTCGGATTTAGCCGGATATTTCTTATGTTTGTTTTCGAATACTTCTGTTCTCGTACATAGCAATATGATTTATTTTCAACCCATATTAGCGCCATTTTAATAATGTCACTTTACGATAGTGCAACGGAACTCTCTTTGCGTTTTTCGAAATTATTTTGCAACTTCCTTCGTCTAGAATTGCCTGAGTCACGGGGTTTCTTGAAAGCAGAATCGGTGAATGGGTTGAAAATATGTAGTATTAAGTTTTTGAAAATACGTATTTTGCCGTGGTATTCCACATTGTTTTCAGAACGTACTCTTTATAATCTTCTCCATTTTTCTTTTTCATGTTGAAACCCCAAACTTACAATATTTTTGCCACATCCTCAATACTGTGTATCCAAATCAAAATTTTTCTTTACAAAATCAATTAATAATAATTGCGATTAATAAATAAAATAACTGCGTTGCTATGGTAACGCAATCTATCCGCTTTTTTGTCCAGTTGTATTTCTCTTCCTTCCTATTTAACCGATAGCAAACCACGATTTTTGGTGATGATGATGAGTGGAATTGTCAATAAAAAAATTGTAACAGGCTTAGGATTTCAATTTTTTTTAGTTTTTTTGAAATAACTCCAAAATGAGATAGCTATCATAGTTGTAACATAATTGAGGACGCGCCTTTCGAAAAATTTGAACAAGTCGTCGCCCAATATTTAAGTCAAAAGGTACAAAATGTTTTTATTTTCATATCTTCGTATATACCTGTCAGTTTGTGGATTTTCGCCGTCATTTTTTGTTGAGTAATTTCGCATATAATTGCCCACGTTTACAACAACAATAAATTAGTTAATATTTTGAAAATTTCAAAAATTATACAGAGCCACACAAAAAAGTCCTGATCCAGAAATTAAAACTACCATCTTTTATATATTTTGACCTCCTGAACTGAATACTTAAGATAAATTTCATTTTATCATGTCACTTTTTTTAAATCATTGATTTTATGCCAAAACAGCCATTTTCCGCCTATTTTTGGCATAAAATCGAAGATTAAAAAAATTACACGATAAAATGAAATTGCGCCATTAAATTCAGAAGGTCAAAATACATACTATGGCAGTTTTAGTTCTGGGTCAGAATTTTTTTTGTATAGTTGTGTTATTTTATTCAAAAAAGCTGCACTAAGGAACTACCCTTTATAAATATAACGAGCGATCAAATAAAAACGTGGTCGAAGTTGGCTCTGACACATTGGACGTCGGGAGTAGCTTATAGCGCCCAACTTAACCTCATTTCTCAACGAGCTGTATAGCAGCTGTCAGTTTCAATAACGTTAATGACTATATAACTTTATTTTAAAGAATAATCGTGATAACAATAACAAACAATTAAAGGAGCTGCGGAAAGTGTCCCCCTCCTTGTTATAACAATAAATTAAAGCAGCTGCTGAAAGTGTCCCCCTCCTTGTTCCAAGCACTTTTCACACCTGTTCCTCAAAGAATTAAAGACATTTTCTAAGATGCTCGGGGTATTGTTAATTTCACGAATCTTGTCTATAAGTCGAGCCTGCAGATGGTTTAAATCAGGAATAGGCAGTTCAAAAATAGTGTTTTTAAGGTAAGGCCACAAAAAGAAATCACACGGCGTAATATCACATGACCTCGGTGGAAATTCATGTTCAGCATTGAGACTTATTAGTCGATTTTGGAAAACTTCCCTCAACATATTCATCGTCTCGCCTGCCGTATGTGCCCTTGCGCCATCTTGTTGAAAGTAAAAGTTTGTAATTTCGTTTTCTTCCAGCTGGTTAACAAAAGGAGCGATAATTTCTTCTCTATACCTTTGCGCAGTAAGAGTACCATTAAAAAAAATAGGTCCATAAATCCTCCTTCGATTGAGAGCACACCAAACTCCAATTTTTTGAGCGTGTAGAGGGCCCTCGACAAAAAAGTTATCTGGTTTTTCAGAAGACCACATTCTCATATTCTGTGAGTTTACGTAACCACTTAAATGAAACCAGGCTTCATCAGAAAAAAAGGTGATATTATGAAGTTCACCGTAGTTGTTTAAAAACCATTCACAAAATACAGCCCGTCGCGGAAAATCAACTTCATGAAGTTCTTGCTGACAAGTTAAACGATAGGAGAACAAACGCAAATCTTTTTTTAACACTGTGTGGCAGGTACCGACTGATACTCCCACCATTTGTGATAAAACACGTACAGAAGTTCTTGGCGCATTTTCCATTATTTGTTGGACATTTTCTTTTAATTCTTCAGTCCGCTTTTTAGGTCGGCCGCTTCCTTCTTTTCTTGTTACACTGCCCGTTTCACGAAAAACATTAACACAACGCTGAACTGCACTTTGAAAAATTTTGTACTCAACAACGCCGGGAAATTGATTTTGAAATTCTATGAAACATTCCTCAATAGAATACTTCCATATTCCATCAATCTTGCGTCCATTTCTAAAGTAGGACTCTATGATAAACACTTTTTGTTCTTGAGAAAACACCATTTTAAACGCTTTTTAAAACGAAAATATTCAAATTGATAGCGGCGATATAGCGCTTTGACAGATGACGTTTAAGTTCATTTGCATACGCTACGCCCTACGTCCAAATTTTCAGAACCAACTTGACCACGTTTTTATTCGAACGCTCGTTATTTACGTCAGTTAATAAAAAATATTTGTTTAGAACTTCATTTTTTTTACTTACTACGCTAAATAAAATTTCCCTCCAAATAAAGTGGCACACTCAAAACCGTTCAAACCGTTGCCAGCGAGACAAGAAGGCCACAGCGCCCGATACGTGACGTCACAGCTGTGGTCCGGCGTGACTAATCAACGCAATCAGTCAGATAGTCGCCTCCAGACCACACTTGCTGCGTAACGCCCAGCGCAGTGACCTCCTCGTCTCGGTAATAACAAAAGACACCCATCAAGGCTTACTTGACCGACTGTACCACGCCGTCTAAAGTGTAAAAATGAGCGGGCCGTTCAAGAGAAGACCGTCCCTAAAGAGCTTACCCCCCATCAGCCTGCCGCCGGGGGCCATCCGCAAGGGGTCAATCCGGCGACAGTCCTCGGTGGGCCTGGGGCTTAAGTCCACGACCACAGCCGCCCCCCAGGAGGTGCCATGGGACATGCTGGACAGGATGTTGCTGCCGGTGGTGTTCTGTCACGCTGCCGCGGTCATCCTCAGTAACGCTCTGAACGTGCTTCATATATCGGAGGTGACCACGTTCACGCTGTTCATATGGTTCACGATAGTGACGATAGGGGCGGTGCTGTTCTACCATAACCTCAAGGTAAGTGGCGTTTGGAACTAGAAACGAAATAGTCAGTTTAGGTCGATCGGGTGCTTACTAGTTTGTTGAATAGAAGATAAGGGATGTGATTATACTTTTTTCTCTACACTTTCTATTTCCATCACAAAGAAAAGTTGTGAAACTATTAAGGGGATACCGTATCCCCTTAACTAACTGATCTGAAATTCTAAATTCGCTGTTATTTACTTACTACCTCTACCTTTAAGATAAAAATTCCATAACACTTCACGGAGTTCTGATATTCGAATAAATGAAAGATTGATCTGAATGATACAACAGAGCACGACTTGACTCATACAGGTGTTTCTTAGAGGTAAAAAATCCAGGGGCGTATTCTGCGGCCAAAAAAAAGGGTTTTTTGTTATATAAATGTGGGGTTTTAGAACAACCATTGTCCAGCTACGTGTCCAAAATTTAAAAAAAAAATCAGTTTTTAATTTTAAATTTCTAAACCGCTTGAGATCATTTAAACAAATTCAGTGTGCATATGCGGTATGACAGTAGGTATGAAACAAAAAATTACCAGCTCTAGAAACTTACCAGTGGCGATCCACTTCTTATTTGTGGAAGGGCAAAATGGGCGTTGACTAATTAGACGCCTTCATTATAGCCATCCTTGTCTATCACATGGATTTCTATGGCTTACTTTATCGCTCTCACGTAACTTCTGATAGACCATCGGTACTTTCCTACACTGTATATCGCCTAGGGTGGCCCAAAAAAAATTTTTTTGTGTGTTTCTTGTGAAAATATGTTGGTTTATCATGTTTTAAGAGCCTCCTCAAAAACTCAGCTCAAAGAAATATTTTTAGGGGTCGCTCAAGAGTCGCTTATTAAAAATTTCCAAAATCGTCAAAAATTGAAATTTTTTATTTTTAATCTTTTTCTCGTTATTTTATCATTTTCTAGGTTGAAAAAAATCTCGATTCTGAAAATTTCAATTGGTTATTTTAATTTCTAAAGGTCACTCATAATTATTTTAACTTTCAAAGTAATGTACCTATGTTTTCGAGCAACCTCTAAAAATATGATGAAAATATGAATTTGATGAACAAAAGAATAGAAATAAATCACGATACTTAAGTGTTAAAAAATTAAAAAATTATAAATATTTGATACTCACAGTGCGGTAATAAATTTTACCTCGAGAAATTTTTTAAGTGTCTCGTGATTTATTTCTATTCTTTTGTTCATCAAATTCAATAAAAAAAATTATTAGTTCGTTGATATTTATTTTTAGAGGTCGCTCGAAAACATTTTAGGTACACCACTTTTAAAATAATAATGAGTGACCTTTAGAAATTAAAATATCGATTTGAAATTTTCAATATCGAGATTTTTTTCAACCTAGAAATTGATAAAATAACGAGGAAAAAAAATTTAAAAAAAAATATTTTTGACGATTTTGGAAATTGTTTAAAATCTTGAGCGACCTCTAAAAAAATTTTTTTTTGGGCTGATTTTTAGAGGGGGCTCTTAAAACATGTCAAACTAACACATTTTAACAAGAGGCACGAAAAAAAATATTCGGTTTTTTTTTGGCCACCCTAATATCAGCCTATACAGGGTGGTCCGAATTTTATGCAGGAAACTTCGAGGGTAGATCGATCTCTTTAAAATAGTAAGTGTTTGCTCTATAAACATAGGTCTGGAACGGCGAGAGGTACGGTTAGAGATACAGGGTGTTGAAGTCGTTAAAATAAAATTGATTTTTTGCTTATATCTCCGGAATCTATTAACCAATTTCAATAAAATTTAGTACAGGTAATGTATGATAGTAGGCCTTGTATTTTATAAAATATAATCTCTAAAGGTTCAACCAGTGGTGTACAACTGGACAGCGTCACCCCTTTTTTTTATAAAAAAAAACCTACGCCACTGTATTTTTTACACGCTATTGTAACGGATTTATATTCTGCTGCACAAAATACGTAAAAAAGGTAACCTTATTTTTGTCCCTAAAGTTCACCGTCACTCAGATCACCCGACATGAACCCTATTGATTTTTTTGTTTGGGGACATCTCAAGACATTAGTTTACAAGGTATATTTCGAGTTCAACCAAGCTGCTATGCTCTTAAATATATGCAAACCCCTCTTGATTACATGCCTCTTTGGCTTCTAACTTAACTAACATCCTAGTCGGTGCACAGGGTCAAGAATTCACGCATGAATGATTCTATCTCAGTTATTAATACTTTAGGGCAAATATCAAAGAGGAATTAGTTATCCTGTATCTAAAATTAATGCGAAGGTACTACTTTTTAAGTGATATCTTGAGGAATGAAGTTTTAAATGATTTGTTTCCCTTGGAAACTCAGAAAAAAGTTTCACTTCGAATAAAAAGAATTCAGGTTTATTTTAATAATAGAGTTGGCATTAAATGCTGTGAAAACATCAAAAATATTTTAGAGTCGAAAGGATCTACAAAAATAACGATGAGATGATAAAATGTTGATATTTTTATCACAATTCACTCTGCAACAATTTTATATTTATTTATTTTTTCAGTCTTATTAAAAGTAGTGTCAATATTATATTATTACGAACATCAACAAAACCTTAAATCGCAAGTTGCGCGAATTAACAAAATTGTTTGTAATTTCTTGTGTCGCCTAAATCATTAGGTATCAAAACATGAACACATTATTACAATTAAAAAAAAATAACAATTATCTGTAAACAAATGCAGATGGAAAAATATACTTAATTAAATAAAATAGTAGACTTTTGAGTGAATAAACACGAAGCTTACGAACGCGAAAAGGATTTCATTTTTACGTGATATTTTTTTTTTGCTCAAATGCCTTTAATTTTGTATCAAATTTAATTCAAAATGAACTATAATACAGCAAATTATTAATTATTTCTCTAGTCACTTTCACTTGCATCGGCAACTGCCACTATCACGTAGAAGATGTTATTTTATCAACTAAAAGATGGTTCGTGAAAATTTAGTTAGATTTTTATTACTGTACCACTGTTATAGTAAGTATAAAAGTAGTTTTCAAATAATTCGTAATCCCATTATCTGCGTTATTGTACAGTAAATAACATATACACGTCTGCTTGTGATCTGAAGCTTCGCATCGATCAATTTATTCGGTACGTATCTAGTGGCACCCTAACGCCTGCCCTGTCGACCTGGCCAGGCCACAGATTTAGCCTATTTCTGCTACTACAAAGCGTATACAGCATAATATAAATTACTACTGTTTATTTATTTAATTGTCGCCACAAAGTTACCTATGTCTACTTATTACTTAACTTTTTTATTTTCTCTTCTCTTACGACAGACTTCTATTCAAACTGAGTTTTTATATATTTTCCCTCGTTATCGTTAATGGAAACAGGCAGACATTAAAAAAATATATTAAAAAGAAAAAATTACCTACTTCGAAGTTAACAAACATTTTTTTAAACGTTCCAATTTATATCTTCTTTTCTTACCGAACCTAGTAAGGTTTACTCAACTTTTTTTGGTAATTTAAACTAAACGACTCTTTAATACTTTGAAACACCTACATATAAATACCAAATATGGATCTACTGTTTTTTTTCTTAAAACAGTTTATACGTATATTGTTTACTCGATTACGTAATCACCTGTAAATTTATTTCTTTTGCTGCATTTGGCGCCGATGACTGTAAAGTCAGACAAATCGAAATGTAACAAAAATAGATATGCTGCCAACAAAATAAATATACGCTTAACAATATAATATATTGTCTATTTAAAAAGTAAACGGTATTAAACGAAATTTATTGGTTACAATAAATATGCGAAAACTAAACAGCAAAAAAATAAATATTTATTTAAAGGTGCTGGGGTACTATTAAATATCGACAAATGAAAGTAACTTTAAACATATTTTCTTCTCGTGTTATTGTTAATTCATCTGAGATGCAGTGCCGGCTGGTGAAAATTGAAGGGGTCATATTTTGATAATAGAATTAATACCAATTAAATTTTTAGAGAATGACTTCTTGGCCCACAAATTGAAATAACAGTGTCAAAAGCCTTTGGACATGACTAGATTGCTTTTCTAGCTAAAAATATATTTGTCTCTTTTTGTTAGCGACTAATCGAAGCAACTTAGAACATAGGTTCAGTTAAATTTGCTTATTTTGGTCGCAGGAAGCGACGATTGAAACACCCTGTATATTTGCTTCAACCCACATTTTTAAAACGTTTTCATTATTTAGAAAATAGAAAACGTAATACCCTTATTAAAGGATTTGATTTGGTTGTATGCTGTCCAATCAAAAACGGAACGATGCACTTCAAGAAGTCGTTATTAATAGACTATAATGTTAATAATCACCACAGTAGTGAAAAGCTTGATACATATCAGTCGCAAACAAACATAAACATGAAATTTACAGCACTATAGAATGCACACAACACAAAATCTAAGCTATAAAGATAGGTTGGCGCTATTAAAGTTACTGCCTGTGGGTTCCACACGGACAATATCCACAAATCGCTAGTTAGTCTCCACGTGACGTCATACAAATGCCGGTGGTATGAGCAATATCATATATCTTAGCCTCTACGTCGTGGAACACGACCAATATGTGCGCATTATATGAGCAGTTCCTTCAGTGTTGCCAGATGACCCATAAAATTATAATTAGCAATAAATAAATGTAGTGTTACTCATGAAGTTGATGGTTTGGAAGTACGAACTATTTTTAAAACGAAAAATAGCTTGTTTTGACAAATCATCAGAAGGTTGGATAACTTCCACTTCCTTTAATTGTCGGAGTGATATATGTCGCTATCGAAAAAAAAATCGATAAATAAATCGCTAAAAATTATGGCACCGCATTTAGTCCAGTCACTGAAGACGAAAATAAGGTAAAAGCTCCCAATTTTTTCGGATAGGATGGATTTTCCTGACAATTTGCATACAAGCTCATTTGACCCCCCACTTCAAAAGTAATATTGTCTAGATGTGTGTTTTTTTCTATTTCGGG